TTTATTGAGACGTAACAGAATATAACAATGTCAAGTTGTCTTCTCCTGACTCATTCAGTACATTGCCAAAATCTGAATTTGATATAAAAGATATAAAGGGTGTCCACATTTTCTCAAAAGAAGAAAGTTTACCTTTCAACATATAAGTTACCTTTCCCATTGTTATTGATCCACTGTACGATAGATGGCCTTCCACTCTCTTCAGTACAAAGATATCAGACGCTTTGCTTGAAGTATACTAGTATTAACACATATGAACACACTAGTATTAACACGCGTGCTGCCACGGTGAACAATATTCTTAGGGATAATTCCCGAAGTAAAAAATTCAGGTGTCATGGGTAGATTTGTAGATATCATCTGGAAAATAAATATAGCCACCTCTTTCCTAAACTCCTGCAGCTTTGGGCAGTTCCACAGGCAATGCATATTAATTTGAGATTACTGTTACATGTTACAGCTGGTATTTGGCTATCCCTGTTATTCAGTAAAAGGACACATGATTTAGATTGGTTTATTTTACAATCAGAAAAGTTACCAAAGAGTGAAAGAAGTTGTATTAGAGAAGGAATGGAGTGAGCCAGATTTGTCAGCTTATGAATCTGTTTTAATTGAGTGTTAACTGGATCAAACTCATTTGCATCTGTCATCAGAGTTCAGTGAATGTGCTTCATTAAAGCCACACTTCAGCCAAAACATGAGATTTCTGTCATGGTTTCCTCTGCAGAAGTCAATGGGGTCCAGTGCTGTTTGTTTCTCTGCGTTCTACAACATGACATAACGACTTCAGGCTGCAATAATGTGTATTTACATTTTCATGTCTTTCTGTGGGCTGAATAAAGCCTATGCTTCATATAGAGAGATACGGCTTCACATATAGATGAATCATGGCTGTAGCCTGGATTTGAACATTAGTAATGTCTGGGGTGGGGTTAAAATATTGTGCTATAATAAACTGTTTATATACACTAACACAGGGGTCAGCAACCCGCGGCTCCCGAGCCGCATGCGACTCTTTCATCCCTCTGCATTGGCTCCCTGTAGCAGGGGTGTACAATACGCGGGGGAGGTGTCCCCCCAATTTTTAATAAAACCTAAACTCTTCCCATGCACTTTTTCTCGGGCAAGTGTGTTCACGTAGAGTTTTTCAAGGGCCAATGTGAATAAATCTAGATTTAAATTAAAAGAGACAATATAGTCACGTCGTTTTGGATACGTATTATTCTTGTCTAAAACGATGTGAACATCAGGGAGCGCTGAACACTCTCAGGCGCTGTATGTTTCATTCATACTCAAAGCCGGAGGGTGCTGTCGTACAGAAAGTCCAAAACGGACTCATATGATAGAAGTAACTTTTGACGCCAGGAAATCCCTGATATGGACAAAGGCATCCCGCTGTCGCTGTTGCTAAGCTGGGGTGCGTTTCCCAAAAGCATCGTTAGCCAACTATGGTCGCAAGTTCTATCGTTACCAACAAAGTTCAACGATTCGGTGTTTCCCGAAACCATAGTTCAAACGAACATTTCGACGGCTCTTCACCTGTGGTTAGAGGCATAGGTCGTTGTTAGTTTGCTGTGTCGACGTCATTGATTGCACTGCACCTGGGGTGTGTTCTATTCAGAGTTATCGACCCTATGCACTATTCCTTTCGAAGATTTCACCATCCACTTTGAGTGATTTGGAAGAGTTTATGTTGTGGTGCTTAGATCTTACCTAATTCGCCTTTAAATATATTTTTTTATTATTACAAATTCAGTCTGAAACTATATAGCAGCGTGGCCCTCGCAATTATTCTCCCTGAGTGCCATAAGTGCCCTCTGAAAGCATTAATCATGCCGATTGGAACACAGCCATCGTTTCGTTTGTGTGAAGAAAAGGTGAGTATCTTTGTTAAAACATTCATAAAGACAAATTTCTCATATAACAATATTGGTAAAACAGTATGTTAGAGGTTTTCACTTATATTAAATGTTAACACTCAAATCACAGTATTTTAATATATTTTTATATTGGAAGCCGGAATTTTCTTAAGATGGCATCATCAGATAGTGAGTCAAGGGGGAGTAAAATGTGTCCCTATGCAGGCATTTAGAATCAGAATCAGAATGAGCTTTATTGCCAGGTATGTGTACACATACGAGGAATTTGTTTTCGTGACAGAAGCTCCACAGTGTAACAGAATGACAGTGACAGAACAAGCTGGGGGATGGTGTCTTGTAGTTGGTGATTTCTTTTAGACTTTTCCACACTGATGCCGAGTCACTGGAAGAGAACTGAATCCTTATTTTTTCAGAATAATTCCTCTTTGCCATTCTGATCTCCTTTTCCAGTGTGTATTTAGCCTGTTTATACAAGAGTTGATTCGCCTGAGCTGACACTTCCGTAGTAAGTTGAGCCAGAGCTGCTGGATCATGTAACGGTGAAGTCTTCTGTAACGAGGCGTCAACAGAGTGAGGATCCATCTGCAGCTTTATTGAAATCGTAATCAACAGGCAAAGTC